TATGACCGTTTAGTTGGCTCTGTTTCTGGATAATACAAAACTGAACATCGAAGACCACCTCTGGCTAGGGCCTTCCTACTGTATCATTGCACAAAAGGGTGTGTCATAAGATTGTTCCAAAGTGTGAGCTCTGGGAAGCACACTGGGATGGCAAAAGTCTCCCGTCTTTCTCATTCCCTCTGGCTGTCATTTCCTTCTTCATAATGCTTCTGGTCTTCACCCGTCTTCCTGACGCACCTCTGCATTCCCAGATGTTCCAAGGCAAGGAACCCTTTCATATTGTTTAAGGTAACCATAGGTGTTGTTGCCATTGCTGTTCTTATTTCCTTCTCTGATTTCTTTGACAGAGGTCTTGCAATACCAAACTTATGAGGTCAAGCAAGCCTCCCTTCTTGGAGGATAGCTCAACTATAGGCACCTTCCCTGCACTTCCTACGGCTGTCTTCATCCTCTCTCCTGTCTGCCTGGGGCAGAGACCTCCCATGGAAGGCTGGGGGTGGATCCGGACGGGATGTGTTGCCTCTCAGGGGCCTGCGATCTTCATGTTCCATCAAACTCACTTCTGAGAGCGTCCACACACTGGAGTCCTCGCTGAAGCAGCTCACTGGCTGCCGGTTCTGGTTGGCCTACCCTTCCCCCATTTACTCTGCCATTCATTCCCACTGACTCTTAGCCCATCTCTCTACTGAGTATGCCCAGTGGGGACCCAGGGAGGTCTCCCATCTCTGCTAGCAAGTTTGATTTGGTTTGGTTGCATTACATTGCATTGTGTTGCCCTTTGTTGGGTCAGCCATGCCTGTGAGCCTAGTTATGAAGTGGTTTTGGTGCATCCATCTCTAATTTAACTTTTAAAATACTCCCTTGGAGGGCTGGGGTTATGGCCCGGTGGGTAAAGCACCTGCCACACAAACATCAGAACCACAGTTAGGATCCCCAGGATGAGCAAGAATGGCAACCCACTTGTAATCCCAGTGCTCAGGAGAGGGGCAGGCAGATGAAATCAGTAAGAAGGCTAGCTAGACTAGCCAAGTCAGCAAGTTCTTGATTAAGAGCGACAGACCCTTGCCTCAATATATATGATGTAGGATAATTTAGAAAGACAACTTCTCTCTCTCTCTCTCTCTCTCTCTCTCTCACACACACACACACACACACACACACACACACGATGCAGAAATGGCATGGATGGCAATGACAGACCATGTCAAAGCAATTTCTATCATTAAAATTTAAGAAACAAGTCAGTTTAGACCAGTGGTTCTCAACCTTCCTAATGCTGCAACCGTTTAATACAATTCCTCATGTTGTGATAACAATACAATTATTTTCTTTGCTGCTTCATAACTGTAATTTTGATATTTTATAAATTGTAAATATCTGTTTTCTGATGGTCTTATGTGACCTCTGTGAAATGGTCATTCGACACCCCCAAGGGGTCACAACCTGTTCCAAGCCAGTGCTAGTAGCACAGTATAAATCAGAAAATTTCCCTGGGACCCAGACAAGCAGAAAACAGTTGGTAATTCTGGGACACAAACTGGACCACTTCAGGGGAATGTGGATAGGAGTTGGCTGGTCTGAGCAGTGGGGTGCCGGGAAAGGGCAATAGTCCCCTCTACCTACCTGGTGAACCCACCAAGTAGGAAGGCGATCACACTCAGTCATTATGTTGCTCAGGGAGCAGCTGTCTATCCCAAGGTATTCCAGATGTAGGACTCTGAGACATCCCAGCCACTCACCTGGTGGCTGGAGTCACTTCAGTGTAATAACGGTCATGTGTGGCAAATAGACAAGACATATGGAAAGTATCCATCGTGCTGAGTGTCTGTGTGGACACATGGGACTGGCCGGTGACAGGAAGTATGACTCATGACTGTGTGGAAGACTGCTCCGTCTCCTGGAAGTCCACCACCAAGCTCTCTGTAAAAAGCCCATGACTCCCTCTTCGCACAGGAAGTACCTGACACATCTATGCCTTCCTATCACGTTTACTTTCTCCCAATGGACAGGAGGAGAGATGGAGAGATGGGGCACCAGGGAAGGTATAAGGGACCTATCGTGGAGGGAAGGGGAAGGCCCAGTAGACAAGAGATCCTGCAGTGGAATCTGACCACCTCCCCAGCACTTGTTCTAGACAAGGCATCTACACAAAGTTGTGTGACTATAAAACGGAACCCAGATCCCTGAGATGGAGAACTTAATGTGCATATTTCTTGTTCATTCTCCCTATGCAGATAAAGAGAGACTCAAAGTGGAAACTCCCCAATGGGTAAGAATCACAGCCTCCCTGGGAGAGTTAGTTCAATATGTATACCTTGGGCTTGAGGTTGTAATTATGATTTAATGGAATGCTGCTTCATGATGTCTTTCTCTTCATTTCATGTAAATTAAGTGGGAATGCATGTGTCTATATTCCTAGAGGGAGTTGGCGAATTCATTAGTTATTGTCTGGAAAGAGTATTGCAATAAAAAAATCTCCAGAAATGCAAGGTATTATTATTAGGTGGATGCAATTTGTAAATCATATTGAATGGGTTGTTTTGTTTTATTCTGCATTGTCTGGGAGTAAAAATTCAGCTCCAAACCCTGAATTCAGCAGTGACCAACACACATAACTGCAGAAAGTGTACAAGCCCAAAATGGAGGTGTTTCCGTGATTTTTATTTATCCTCCCCCCCCCAAATTTGGGAGGTATTGTGCAAATGTCACACAGGGAGACACAGTGCTAAAGAAAGAGCAGAGAGTCCTACATCTGGATCAGCAGGCGGAGGGAAGAGAGACACATTAGGCCTAGCCTGCGCATTTGAAACCTCAAAGCCCACCCCAGTGACACACTTCCTCTAACAAGGCCACAGCTCCTAATAGTGCCACTCCCTGGTGACCAAACATTCAAATCTATGAGCCTATGGGGGCCATTTCTATTCAAACCACGCAGAGCATCGTTAGAAATGGTAAGATGAATGTCTGTCATATAGAAGACAAACTGTCTCCCACCTTGGAGAGGCCCCTCCCATCTGGTCCTGTAGAGGCCCTTGGGGAGCAATCAGGATCTTTGCTCCCACTAGGCTTTGAGAGACTCATTCTGAAAATGGATGGGTTTGATCTGAGAGTCTCCATGTAGCTGCTATGCCCTGAAACTGCTGCATTGACTTTGACAGGAAGTACAAGAAGCAAGATGTGCAAAGTGCATAAGGCAAAAATTCAGGAGGGCTATGCACAGGGTGCAAATTCATACTCAGATATGGAGAGTATTGGTTCCCCATCCTCCCAGACTTTGGTGTTGTTCAGTCAACAGACGAATGAACAGAGGAATGAGTTGATCTGTTATTCCTCTTCTACAAACTGTTAATATATAGAAAACTATTTTTTGTGATAATGATCTGTTCTAGATTTGTGACTATTAGATCCAGCACTGAGAAGCCTTTAGCTTTCTCATAGGGATCACTCTTGGTGTTTGCAGTCTATGTGCCTTTACTCTAGTATGAGCTGGATGTGTCCCACTATACTGTGATGTGGACATGTCTCCACCATAGTATGATATGTGTGTGCCCTATTGTACTGTGATGTGGACATGTGCTCACTCTAGTGTGATGTGATGTGGACATGTCCTCACTCTAGTGTGATGTGGACATGTCCTCACTCTAGTGTGATGTGCACATGTCCTCACTCTAGTGTGATGTGGACATGTCCTTACTCTAGTGTGATGTGGACATGTCCTCACTCTAGTGTGATGTGATGTAGACATGTCCTCACTCTAGTGTGATGTGGACATGTCCTCACTCTAGTGTGATGTGATGTAGACATGTCCTCACTCTAGTGTGATGTGGACATGCCCCACTGTTCTGTGACAGCGATTACCATTGTCCCCTCCCAGTTCTGCTTTCTACACTCCCATTAGCTGAGATCAACTGCACAGCTGTGGCCCAGTGAACCTTCTTCTTAAGCATAATCAGAAAGCTGACCGTAGCCTAACACCACATCACAATGCCTGAGTCGTTCATCTCGCTTCCCTGTCATTAGCCGTCATCACATGACCTCAGATCAGCTCGAGAAGACACTTGAATCCAGCACACTGAGGTGTACAGCTGATAGCCCGGTGAGCAAAGTTCTTGCTACACAGCATGGAGACCTGAATCAGGTTGGCAACACCCACACAAGAGCCAGTGTGCATATGGAATCCTAGAGCTAGGGAGGCAGAGACAGGAGCATCCCTAAATTTGCTGGCCGGTTAGTCTAGCTGAATTGACAAGCGTCAGGTTCAGTGTGAGATCCTGACTCAAAAAGTGACTAGAAAGCAATTGAAAAAGACATCCATGTTGACCTATGGCCTCCACATGTGCAAACGCGCAAGAACCTGAACCCTCCCTTACACATTTACACATAAATACACGTACGACATGATACACACACAGATTTTTGAGAGACACCATAAATTCACATAATTTTATTATGGTATGCTGTTAAAGTAACCCTGTTTTTATTAATTATTACTAAGTTCTTTCTATGCTTAGATTATAAAGTGTTTCATAGGTATAAGGAGAAAAATACGACATATACAAATGAGATTTGTTACTATCTACAGCCTCAGAAACACACACCCCCACTTAGAGCATATCCCCCAAGGAGGATGGAGAAACTACTATACATTCACTACCACAAAACCCCTCTATGCTCTGCATCCCAACTCCCCAGCCTAATGCTCTCAGCACACACCACTGGGTGGTCCCTTAAGAGAACAAGAAGCTACACACATTTGCTTTCAGAACATTTGCTTTTCTTTGTCTTAGAACGGGCTCAGGGTCTGGTATCATACATACTTAGCTTCAGCTGTCAACTTGACAGTAACTTAAATTCACCTGGGAAGAGCGAGCCTCAACCAAAGCCTCTGTCCGATTGGCCTATGAGGTGTTGCTAATTGATGTAGGAGGGCTCAGCCCACTGTGGGAGGTGCTACCACTGGGCTGGTGGTCCTGAGTTGTATAAGGAAACAACAGGTTGAGCAAGCCACGAGGAGCAAGCCAGAAAGAGCACCAGTTCCTGCCTCCAGTCTCCTGCTCTGTTTGACTTCCCTTTGTGATTAACCTGGGAGGAGACATAGAGATGTAAGCCATAAACTAAGCCATGTAAACCTGTTTCTCCCCAAGTTGCTTTTGTGTGTGTGTTTAGCATAACAATAGGAAAGCTAGCCACAACACCTGGTTGGCAGCATTCATGACTGGTGTAGGGCCGGAAGCCTTGCTGGCACACTTTGACACTGCAAGTTGCTCTAATAAATTTGTCCTTTTTCAGCCATGTGAATCTAAAATGCATAAATTGAGATATGCATTTCAGAATGAATTTACTCAGTTTCTAATGCAGTGTTTTGTCACTTAGATGGTCACCGGGTAGCTCAGGACAATTTGTTTTCATTGACATCTAGAGGCCCCTCACAGCTTGTGGATTTTCACACCTGTTTCAAATTGAGTGTGGAGAATTCCCAGAACTTGCAGAGTAAAACAAGAAGTAAAAGATGAAGATGATCTTTTAAAACCTGAACAATTAACTACAACCAGACAGCTTTTGTTTAAATCCCTTGCTGGAACCATCAGCTTATAAAGACAGGAGAAAGGGGCTGCTACACAAATCCCTCAAGTCAGATCATCTCTGGCTCCCACCGAGTACCTCAGGTACACTTGTACGTGTGTGTGCATGTTTGGTTTTGTCTACCTCCCGAGTTCCTAATTAAAAACCACTTAAGGAATTGCTAGCTGACACGTTACTAATTCTAGCTAACAAATGACTACAAATAGAAGAGTTTAAAATAGCATCCCTTTGCCATCTTATGGTTCTGTGGGTCAGAAGTCTGTATAAATGACCGGGTTCTCTATTTATGATCTGAACTCCAAGTATTAGCCCAGCAAGTGTTGTTCCCCAGAGCTGGGGAAGAAGCTACTTCTAAGTTGTTTCTGGATCATTCCATTCCATGCAGCTGTGTGGCAAAGGCCTCATGTCATTGCTGGCTGTGGATCAGGTCACCCTTCTCATGGAGAGGCTTCTCTCAGGCTCTGGTGTGTAGCTAACTATCTTCAAAGTCAGCAAGGGCACTTTCAATCCTTCTTATGCTTCGAGTCTCTCTGATCTCTCTCCATCTGCCACCAGCCATAAAGAAATGCTGTGCCTTTAAAGGAATGTGATGAGGTTGCACCCACCTGCATAATCTCTCTTTTGATTATCTCAAAGTCAAGTCATTATTATCTGTAATTACATCTTCAAAATTTCCCTTGATAGTAACACAATATGATCATGGGTTGAAAAATCTTATCAAAGTCCCAGAGCCAAGGAAAGACGACTCTCATTGGGTAGAGAATCTTGGGGCACTTGCTGCTAACTGGATATGCACAAAACAGAAACTAGAAGAGGGACAATAAAGAGGAGAGAGTCATTCTGACTACTCAAACTGGACCACACCCTGAGGAGTGGTTCACTATGCAAAACCTTCCAGTTCAGATGCATCCTAACTATCAGAGGTCTTTCTTCTCCGTGCGGCTAATGGGCCACTGATCCTCCAGAAGTCTTCTGCACACTGGTGAAGTCCCCTCCACATAACTTTAGGCCCCCATGTATGAAGGGTAAGCCACACAACCCCCCACACACACCCATAGCGGGTGTAATTGTGACATTGTATCTCCAGAGATGGCTGCATTGGCACCAGCTGATAATGGCAAGCCATGCCTTTCCTGGTGTCTTTAGTGTGTTCTCTCTGTTCCTCAGCAAGACTGGAGCCCAGCAGTCCCTGTTTTTTAGTGGGATGCCCAGAGTGGGCTGAAAATATCAGAGTTCAATTCAGGTGACTTAAAAACTAGCAGAAACCGTAGAGCAGCAAGGACGCCATTGGAGAAAGGTTTTAGACGTAGTTCTGCCAGTGATGTGTTTCCGTTAAACTGTAGTACTCCCAGCTCTGACTGCCTTCTTGTGGGTTGTTTTTTACCCAGTATGGTTTGTCTCATGGTGACAATGTGACAATGTGGCTGCTTGTAGCCGCTGGGCCTCCCTATTTACACAGAAGAGGAAAAAGCCAGCAGGTCCAGAGCCCTGAGCAGAAGTCCCAGTTTCCAATCAGTTGGCTGCTCTCTCCCCCTGGCCACGGGCTACCATTGTTTAATTGCTTAGGCCTGCGTTACCCAGGCAGATGGAAATGACCTGGCTAGATCAGATTAATGAGGGCTGAGGCTGGGAGCAGTTCCTCAAACAACATCGTTGCTACGCAGTGGTAACAGAGTGGCTGGGTGTTGGAGCAGCAGCCCAAATGTCACTGCAGTGAACACCCACCTTGGAGAACCTTGGTAGCAGAGACAAGACTGCCCTTTTCTAAGTCCGTCTCAGTGCCTGTGGGTGGGTTACTACGGCGCGGCACCTCCCCGTACTGAATACTATGCAAGTATTTAAATACTCCCCATGCCACATGGATGCTGAACACGAGCCACCAACTTCAGCACATGCCATGGCAGCTGAAAAGAGAACCACCTTGATCCAACACACGGCAAGATGAGATGACTGTGCCACCCAGTGCCTTCCCAGGGGCCATGTGCAATTGTTTCAACCCGCACTGGTGTTTTCACATTGTTTCCACTAAGCTGTACTTCCAGAGTTCCTACTTGGATCCAAATTCTATGCTGTCTATAGATTCTCCCATAGCACAGTCTGCTCAGAGCACCTCTCTCCAGCTTCTGTGTTCCCCAAGTGTTTAGAATCCTTCAGGCTCCCTATCTCCCTCAGAGTAGGGCTTTAGCACTGTTGGCATTTGTGGCCAGCTGTAGGGCTGAGTTCCTGGGAATGAAACATACGCAGTTCCAAAAGGCAGTACACTCAGAGGAGATCCTAACACTTGCAGGCTCCACTGTCATCATCTTGAAGTTCTTTTTTTGTTTGTTTGTTTTGTTTTTTTTTGTTGTTGTTGTTGTTGTTTTATGAGACAGGGTTTCTCTGTATTGTTTTGGAGGCTGTCGGTCCAGCCCGGCCTCGAACTCAAGAGATCCGCCTGCCTCTGCCTCCCGAGTGCTGGGATTAAAGGCGTGCGCCGCCGCCGCCGCCACCACCACCTGGCTCATCTTGAAGTTCTTAATGTGTGGTGATACATTATTTATGATTTATTAAAACTTGCCTGAGGATTCAGAAAGTAAAGCCAGCCTGAATCTATAGAGATCAAGCAGTGGTGGTATACACCTTTAATCCCAGGACTCAGGATTAAGATCTGAGGTAGGTGGATCTCTCTGAGTTCAGAGCCACCCAGGGATACACGAGATTGAATCAGTCTAAAAGGGTAACAGCTCACACCTTTAATCCCAGCACTAGAGAGTTATAAAGATAGGAGCAGGCTCTTCAGTAGTTAATATCAGGATTAGTCTCTAGCCACGTTGAGGAGAGCATGGTCTTAGTGAATCTGAGGAGCAGTGAAGTCGGGAGCGATTTGAGGGTCGCCCCTTTGGTCTAAACTAAGATAGAAGAGCTAGTGGCTGGCTGCTTTGCTTTTCTGATCTTCAGTTTAAAGCTTGAACCCCAATATCAGCTTCTGGGTCTTTTATTTTTGTGCTACATTAATGATCATTAAACTTGTAAGTGAAATACAGGAGAGCCCGATAGTCATGGCCATGATCATTGCTGCCCTGTTTGCAGAGTGGTGACAGTTCCAATGTCCTATGAGCACAGAATTCTCATTGGACCACGATGCATGAAGGTGCAGTGACAATCAGAGCAAGCTAAATAGAAATGCGTTTTACTTGTGACTGAGTAAGCCAGTGGTTAGCAACCTTCCTGATCCTGGGACCCTTTAATACCGTTCCTTATGTTGGGGTGACCCCCTCCAACCACAAAATTATTTTGTCACTACTTCATAACTATAATTTCACTAGTGTTATGAATCATAATATTGTAAGTATTTGTGTAAATATCTGTGTTTTCTAATGGTCTTAGATGACCCCAAAGAGTTGCAGCCCACAGGTTGAGAACCCCTCAGTTTCCTCAGCGGAATCCTTCACAGATCCAGGATTCTTTCCAACAAGAAACTTGCTTTGAATGCATAAAAAGCAGGCTGACCACCAAAAAAAAATGCAGATGATTGATAAGCTACCGGGTATTCTCTCATTCATGTTCCGTCCCTGAACTTGCGGACTACTGAGAGCAGTGTCCCAGAAGTAGAGTTTTGCGGCTAATGGAGTCAGGAAACTCAGTAGTAGAGCACTGCCCTAGACCATGAAAAGCCCAGGAGCAGAGCGGGTCTTATTAGTAAGCGTAGGTTGCCTGATAAAATTTGAGTTTCAGATAAGCAACATAGGGCATACTTACACTGAAATTTTAATGTTGTTCTCCAAATCCAAACTACAAGTGACCTTGTATTTTATCTGAGGGTCCTACCTGGCAGGGAAGGGGAGGCCAGAACAGTTTCCAGCTCTCTGCCTTTAACTCTTCCCTCCTCAAGGTAGCTGCTGGGACAGTGTGCCGCTACGGAGTAGAGTAACAGCAGGCACACGAGCTCTGAGCAGCCTTCCTGCTTGCCTAGAAAAACAAGCATATACGCACAGGCCAGCTACGAAATATGAATAGGGTGATTTTAGTGGTTCCACGTGTGAAGTAAGTGTCTTTATATTTGTAGTTCAAAACCAGCACCGTAGAATATGAAAATAAAGGGGACACCACATACTGATAATTTCACATGTTTAACTTCTCTATTTAAAACAACACTAGGTAGCAAATAAAAACAATAGCGTGACAAATAATTAGAATGCAGAGAAAAGGAAAAGAGTTTTGCATTGTATTTTTACCTTTTCGTTTGGTTGGTTGGTTTGGGGAGGACTGGGTTTTGTTACATAACCCAAGCTGGCCTCGAACTTATGGTCTGCCTGCTTCAGCCTCCTGCATGCTGCTGGGTTGGGTTATAGGAATATATGTTAGTAACTGCAATGGTGATTTTGTTCTACTCCTTGAACCAAGAGACCCACCATTTCATCCTGGGCTATCTGACACATTCAGCAGCCAACCTTGGGCTGCCCTATCCACTGTAACATATTCAGCAGCAACCATCACCTGTGGCCCCTACCCACCCAAGGAGAACCCCTGCTTAAGGGGAAAACTCCAACTTTACTGATGTGTGGTTACCCATGTAACTCTTTACACGCCTCACCGCAGAGTGCAACAAGCATGTCGAACCTGCTTGGGGCCCTTCAAAAAGCATCACTTGAATTCATCCTTGCTTCCAGATACCCTCTTCCTGTTCCCTAGGTCACCTTTTTTCCAGCTTCACTCGGGGACTCCTTATCACCCATACCCACCCCCAATCCACCCTTCCTTAACTGCTATTCATGTCTGCTCTCAGTATATTAGTTACGTTGCTTGTTGCTGAGACAAAACATCTAACAAAAGTAACTTAAAGAGAGTCTGCTAGCCGGGTGTTGGTGGCGCACGCCTTTAATCCCAGCACTCGGGAGGCAGAGGCAGGCAGATCTCTGTGAGTTCGAGGCCAGCCTGGTCTACAGAGTGAGTTCCAGGACAGCCTCCAAAACAATACAGAGAAACCCTGTCTCGAAAAACCAAAAAAAAAAAAAAAAAAAAAAAAAAAAAAAGAGAGAGTCTGCTAGTGTTGGGGAAGTCCTGTGCATTTGTCAATAAAGCACTGTCTGGCCAATAGGGAATCTAGATAGGAGGGACTAGGAGTCCAGAAGGACTCTGGGTAGGAGAAACACAAGGAGAGAGCAAGATGTAACCGCCATGGGGTAGGAAGCCCAGAACTATTCTCCGGTAAGAAACATACTTAGATTAACAATTATGGGGTAATTACTTAAGTCAGAGCTAGCCAGTAAGAAACAAGCAAGGCCAACAGCTTCATAATTAATATAGCCTCCTGTGTGTTTATTTAGGACTGATGCGGCTCTAGAACCAGGCTGGCAGGAAGGCATTCTCTCAAAGAAAAAACTTCTCTTTACATGCTAGGCCAAAAAAAGCATGTTGGAGCCCCTGGAGCTAGAGTTGCAGGTGGTTGTAAATTATCTGGTGTGAGTGCTAGGAGCTGAACTTGAGCCCTCTACAAGAGCAGCAAGCATTTTAGCTGCTGAACCATCTCTCCAGTGGGGGGGGGGGGCTATTTTGCCTCATGGTTTAAGAAGGAGTGCATTCCATGTTGTGTGACGAAACATTTTGGGGGAGGCACATCTACTCACCCCAAGTAGGGAGTCCAGAACAGATCAAAGTATAGACATCATCAAAGTTCAACTTGGTGAACCAATGAGTTTTATTGTGGTTACTTACAGGAGTAGAACTAACTCATGGATAGCTGTATCACCAAGGCCCACCCCAGTGTGGGTGACAGCTCACAAAGCTGGGAACCTGGAGCCCACGGCACAGCCTGCAGGCAGCTTCGGCAGGTTGGAGAGCGTCCTTTCCAAGTGACTCAATTGGTCTAAACCCCTTCCCACCAGCTCAACTGGGCCCTGCTTCTTCCAAGTAGCTGATCCAGTCTGAGAGTCCTCTTTGCAGCTTGGCTTGTGTGATGATTTGAAAGAAAATGGACCCCAGAGGCGGTGGCACTATTAGGAAGTGTGGCCTTGTTGGAGAAAGTGAGTCCCTGGTGGGGGCGGGCTTTGAGGTCTCTTTTGCTCAGACTTCCCTCAGTGTGACTTTCAGTTGACTTCCCATTGCCTGTAAGATGTAGGACCATTAGCTATTCCTCCAGCACCATGTCCGCCTGCAAGACTGGACCTCTGAAACTGTAAGTGAGCCACCCCAATTAAATGTTTTCATTGTAAGAGTTGCCCTAGTCATGGTGTCTTTTCCCAGCAATAGAAAACCCTAAATAATGGCCAAGTGGTGGTAGTGTACGCCTTTAATCCCAGCACTCAGGAGGCAGAAGCAGGTGGATCCGTGAGTTCAAGACCAGCCTAGTCTATAGAGCGAGTTCCAGGATAGCCTCCAAAGCCACCCAGTTTTCAAGAAACCCTGTCTCGAAAAACAAACAAACAAAAAAAAACAAAAGAAAAGAAAGCCCTAACTAAGGCATCTTGTCTCAGAGTGACCCTAGGCACTTCGTTATTACTTACTCTGCCAGGGAGGGGCCAAGTGAATCTGATCAGTTTCAGGGACTTCCTGAAGCTGTCTTGAGTTGTTCACCTCCCTACTCACAGAACCTCCCTGGAGGAAGGAATGCTTCAGCCTTGGAGGACATGGTTACACCGCAGCCCATCATGGAGGAAGTCACAGCAGCAGGACGGTGAGACGGCTGGTCACGCTGCATCCACAGTCAGGGATCAGGGAAGAGACAGTGCCCTTGCTCCTTTTTATTCAGAACTCCAGATCACAGGGTGGTACCACCCACACTGGGGCGTGTCATCCCTCCTCAGTCAAGTCTCTCGGGAAGGATGCTGGCAGATGCCCCAGAGGCGTGTTTCCTGGGCGATGTGAAGTCCAGCTAGGTTGAAAAGGGTTAACCCATCACACTGGTAAGGGCTTTGCTCACAGCTTCACCTGCCCTGCCCCTGCACTACTGTGTACAAAATTTGAATGACACAGGCTGAGAGCTAGACTCCCAGGGCGAGGACTTTTTCTTCATCTGCGTTTCTAGCCTGACATCTAGATAGGCAGTAAAGGAACCCGAGGAAAGGGGGAAGGGTAAAAGAAGATACAGGAGCACAGGGAGGCAAAAGGCAGCTAGAGACCTTTCTAATGTTGCAAGAGTAGTAGATGTTGCTCTCCATGTCCCATGTTTATTTCTGGAAGTCCATTCATTAAGCCCTGCAAATAAGTGCCAGTCCCTCATAGAAGTAATGTACGCCAGGGAAGTGCTGTCTTTGGTGTTTAGATCAGTGGCTGAGCCTTGCTCTGGATCCCAGGCTGTGTTGTACATTCTCTGGGGGTTTCTGCTTCCTCTAGTCCAGAGGTTCTCAACCCATTGGTCGGAATCCTCTTAGGGCCAAAGGACCTTTTCACAGGAGTTGCCTAAGACCATTGGAAAACACGGCCATCCACATTGTGATTCATAGCAGTAGAAAAATTACAGTTATGAAGTAGCATGCTGTGGGGATGCCACAGCATGAGGGGCTGTATTGAAGGGCCACAGCATTAGGAAGGTTGAGAACCACTGCTCTAGTTGCTCACACATTGGTCTTTCGAGAAGGCCCCCTTTACCTAGCATGCTCCTAGCAGCAGCAGCTTGTGAGTGGGCAGGAAGGAGCTCTTTAGTGACTGACCACCACCCTCAGAACTCCCCCTTCCCCACACCCTCCCCTCACACCAGACTTGTGCTTTGCCCTCAGACTGGCCCATTTCTTCACAGCCCTCAGGGCTGCCTCAGCAGTATACTGTCTCTACCCGCTAAGAGGATGCTACAACAGAATTCTCGTCTTCCTCTGTATACCATCCCTTTGGGCGAAGGCAGTGGTCCACAGTGCTCCTGAAGGAACTGAGCAGAAAAGAGAAACTTAATCCCCTGCTTCCCTGAGCTGGAGTTACTGTCCTATTAGATGTAAAGTAGTATAAAAATACAGAGATGGGGGCCTAGACAGATGTCTCTGCAGTTAGGAGCACTGGCTGTTCTTCGGGAGGTCCTGAATTCAATTTCCAGCAACAACATGGTGTCTCACAACCATCTGTAATGAGATCTGACGCCTTCCTCTGGCTTGCAGGCATACATGCACACATAATAAATAAATCTTTAAAAAATACAGGGGTCGAACATGTATAAGGCCCTAGTATGATCCTCAAAATCACAAAAATACATAGACAAGGAATGTACAGAAAATCTATGATGCATTAAATACAAGTATCCCTCCATTCTACATCCATTGACTCACCCAACCATGGATCAAAAACAATTTTTAAAAAATTAGAGCTGAGGCCATGGCTCATGGTAAGAGCACTTGGTTCATAGACATGAGTTCAGGTTTAGCATCCACATAAGAGCCTTGTATGCCAGTAACTCCAGCACCGGAGTAAGGTAGAGAAACAAGGACTGACAAGGCTACCTGACCAGCCAGCATACCCAGACAATAGGGAGATGCAGGTGAACAGGAGGACAAGGAAGAGAATGATAGGGCAGGACTCTCAGCATCTCCCTTTGTCCAGACAAGTGTTCAGGAGCCCAGAGCAAGCTGCAGCTATTGCCTCCTCCCAAGCAGCAAACCTAGAGCAGAAAGATGTAAGAGTCCCCAGACCCAGCAATGGCTTGGATATAGAAGGAGCCAGAGTGGGCAAAGACCAAAGCAGCCTGAATAAACAGGTGATCTCAGGACCCCTAAAGTGTCTAGACCCCCATGGTGGCCCCCAAATAGGAAAGTAAATGGGATTTCTGTCATCCCAGGGAAAAGGTGGCATAAAAGAAAAATCAGCTAGGGAGTGATTTTAATTATTTTGATGGATCAGAGATGCAGAATTACTACTGCCTACATCAAAAAGAGGTGGAGGCTGGGGAGATGGCTCAGCGGTTAAGAGCTCTGGCTGCTCTTCCAGAGGTTCTGAGTTCAATTCCCAGCAACCACATGGTGGCTCACAACCATCTGTAATGAGATCTGGTGTCCTCTTCTGACCTGCAAGCATACATGCAGACAGAATACTATATACACAATTGTAGGAGTGAACCCCACAAAGCTATCCGCCCAACAGGGCGGGGTCAAGGTAGAGATAAAAGGAAGTGAAAGGAAAAGGGGCTTCCCTTTTCTCCTGGAAGCTAGCCACGCTTCTAACTCCTGGTCTGTGCGACTCTCTCTCTCTCTGGTAAATAAATATATTGTTTTCCCTATATAGCTTCAAATATCGTTAGACACAATAAGTAAATAAATCTTAAAAAAAAAGAAAGAGGTGGGTTTCTCTCATGTAAATATTCAGAGGTAGCTTGGCCCAGGGCCCAGCTATCTCATGATCTTCTGTTTTCAGCATCTTGTCAGTCAATATAGCTACAAAGGAAGCAAGGCTCTATCCCTTTCTCACTAGACAGGCTTAATTGGGAAGCCATCACTACCTGCAAAGAAGGCTGGGAGATGTAGTCCTCTCAGATGTCCTGTGGATGGAGCCAATACACTATTTATTTACTTATTTATTTTACAGAAATCTCTAACTGCTGCTGTTGTTAGAATGTGCCCCCATAGGCTCATGGGTTTGGACACTTGGTCTCTATCTGGTGGCACTGTTTGGGAAAGTTCCCTTCAGGTAGAGCCATATTGGAGAAAGTGGGTCTTGACTGTCTTAACTAGGGTTACTATTACTGTGATGAAACACCATGAGCAAAAGCAACTCAGGGGGGAAAGTTCCACATGAGTTAATCATCAAAAGCAGTGAGGACAGAAGCTCACACAGCCTTGGGTTTAGGGCTGGAATCACAGGCCCTTCGAGCATTAAAGTCTCAGGATCTGGTACAACCCTGGGAGGGAAAAGGGTCACACTAACGATCGAGGAGGAATTTCCCATCAGCCCCCAAAATGGGCAGTTGGAGATAAAAGTAATCTCATTTGACAGACAGAAGATCAATAATGAGTTCTACTTACTGTCTTGCGTACCATCTCCAGTGCATTGCCTACCAAATAATGCTTGGCAAAGATATAAAAGTTATTCAGTAGGGGGAAGCTAGCTCTGAACAACAAATGGAACAGGAGTGATCAACGGTCCACAGGAAAAGCAACCTTGTTCTTTATTTGAGAAGTAATCCCAAACAGTTTAGAAACTCAAGGCAAAACACAAGACAAGAAATCTTCAGAAATAAAGCTTGGAGGAAAGCTTTGGAATCTACGTATAAAGGGGTAAAGCACAGAGGAAACATTTATATGTTATAAAAGACTATGGTGAGGGTTGGAGAGAGGGCTGGGTGGTCAAGAGAGACGCTGCTCTGTGGAGCTGATCAAGGTTCCCGGAACCCTCAGAGATGATCCAGAATGACCTATAACTCCAGCTCCAGAGAGATGCCATGCCCCGGTCCCCTAAGGCCACTGCACTCCTGTGCACAAGGTCATACAGACACATACATATAATTAAAATAAATCTGTGAGAAAGAAAAACTCTGATTAGATGAAAAGACAAGTTCTAGACAGGAAGAAAATATTTGTACACTCTGGCAGAAATCTACAACCTAAACACATGTACATACCACACACACCACATACACATACATACACCATACATACGCATACATACACCACACAGTACAACACGTATACATCATACATCATACCACACACACCACACATCACAAATATATTCACACACACACACACACACACATACCACAGCACACATCACATACACATAGACATACTGCACACACACACCACTGATCCAGTCCACATATGAGTTGGCAAGATGGCTCAGCAGTTAAAGGCATTTGTTGCCAAGCCTGACAACCTAAGCTGGATCCTTGGATGGTGGAATGAGAGAATCGGCTCCTGCAAGTTGTTCTCTGACCTCCAATCACATACGGTGGTGTGCACATTCTCCCCCCTAAAAAATAAATGTTTTTTTAAATCTTAGCAAAAGAAAGGAATAGACATGTCCTAAGAACAATATCAGCCTAGTGAAAACATGAAGTTCGGCATCATTTTAAGGACTGGATGCTTAGCTTAGGAATAAAGGAATGCTTAATATAT